GGATTTTTTACAGAGAGGAAGGGAGAAGGATAGAGAGTTAGAAACATCAATGAGAGAGAAACATCAATCAGCTGCCTCCTGCACACCCCCTACTGGGGATGTGCCCCCCCAACCAAGGCATGTGCCCTTGACTGGAATCGAACCCCGGACTCTGATTCAGTCCACCACTCTATCCACTGAGCCAAACCAGCTAGGGCTTTACATTTTTTATTTTAATTTTAAAAAATATTTTTATTGATTGCGGAAGGGAAGGGAGAGAGATAAAAACATTAATGGTGAGAGAGAATCACACTTGGGCTGCCTCCTGCACGATCCCAGGCCCCCAAATCCGGGTTGAGCCCGCAACCCAGGCATGTGCCCTGACCGGGAATCTAACCGTCACCTCCTGGTTCATTGGCTGACGCTCAACCACTGAGCCACACCAACGGGGCATGATTCCTTTCTCAATCACTTCATGTGCTTCCTTGTATAATACATACTTATTGCCAAACGCTTAGCCTTCTTACTTCCCCTCCCTCTGACCTTTCCCCAACACACGCTCCCTCCCAGTCACTTTAATGAGATTGTCTAGCTCTATGTGAGCTGCAGACTGATATTAAATCAATACTTAATAGTTCAGTTCTTTTTTTATTAATAGGATGTCCACACTAATTTCCATTGTATCATTTAAGTCAGTTTACCGTAACTCTCAACCCTAATTGTGATGAACTTGGAGAGTCGGTCATGGTGAAATGACGCTGTCAAAAGAGGGCAACCAAAGAATAGGCGGTTTCCTTCCCCGCCCTCGCCACGTTAGAGGATTAAAGAGCGCCGGGCCCTAGGCGAAAACGCCGCCACCCAGAGCGTGCGGCTCCCCGCATGGCACCGCGGTCCCGCCCTCTCGATGATCCTCTTTCCGGCTTCCTCGTGTTGCATGACGGGAGAAATAGTCTACTTCCCCCGGCGGTACGCGGGAACGCCCTAATTCAGAACTCCATTTCCCGGCGTGCCTCTGGCTGATCTCTCCGCCCACAGCGAGAGGCCGGTTCCGTTGCATCAGCGTGGAATCCGCGGCGAAATGAGACTGTTCGTGAGCGAGGGCGCCCCGGGGACGCTGCCCGTGCTGGCCGCAGCTGGGAGGGCGCAGGGCCGGGCGCAGCTGCTCGTCAGCACCGTGGGCCCCGAAGGTAGTCGGGCTGGTGCTGGTGGGTGAGGGGGGCGGGCCGAAGCACGCCGGACTCCCGGTCCGCAGTCTCCTTCCCCAATCCCAACCACTCATTCCCATCTACCTCCTGCCCCATTATCCTTCGTCACTCCATCCCCTCTTCCTTCCCTCCCGCCGTCACACACAAGAGTCACTCGCATTACAACCCCCCCAGACACCTTTTTGTTCCTAGGAAACCCTGCGCTCCTCTCCACACAGACACACATGTACTCCTTTTGGTTTACCTGTTGTCGTTCCCAGCCAGCTGTTGGGGTGACTCCTAAGCAGTTCCGTTGCCAGTCTTCCCAGTTCTGATAATTTTGTTCTGTTATCTCGGGTCGTTCTCAGATAATCCCAGTAATAATTGTTCCAGTTCTCGGCTGTGCGCTATCCCAGCACCACCACCTCCTCTCTGCAGTACCCATCTGCTGTTTCCAGCTGGCGGTCTCAGCTGAACACCTGCTGGTCTCCCCAGCGCATTCTGGACCCACCCGCTTTCAGTGGTCCGGTCTTAGAAGCTCTGGATTGAGACTGCCCATCTTTTCCCCTAAACAATGTGAAGTTGTCCTAAGTTGACAACGAATTTTGCTTTTTTGTGTTGTTGTTTTTTCCTGTTTTTCACGCATTTTTCTCTCTCGCATCAGAGTGTGTGGTCCCATTCCTGACCCGGCCTAAGATCCCTGTCTTGCAGCTGGATAGTGGCAACTACCTCTTCTCCACGAATGCAATCTGCAGGTCAGTATTGATACTTGATGCAAGGAGGTGACTAAATCACATCAGAGCTTACTGTCCTCTGTGTGGCCTTATACACAACCACTGTTTCACTGAGGGGTGAGAGCGGGCCCCTCTAATTCCACCTTCTGTTGCTCTTTCTCTGGCAGATACTTCTTTCTGTTATCTGGCTCAGAGCAAGATGACCTCACCAACCAGTGGCTGGAATGGGAAGCAACAGAGCTGCAGGTGGTACTGAGACATGGGGGGTGGCAGGCAGGCCCATTGCCCTGCATGGCTGTCCTGACCTGTGTCCCCCCACATTTTAGCCGGCTTTGTCTGCTGCCCTGTACTATTTAGTGGTCCAAGGCAAGAAGGGGGAAGATGTTCTTGGCCCCATCCGGAGAGCCCTGACTCACATTGACCACAGCTTGAGTCGTCGGAGCTGTCCTTTCCTGGCTGGGGTAAGTTGGGCCTTGAGGTGGGGATTGGGGAAGCTGTGTGGTAAAAGAATGAAGAAGGAAGACAGTATTCATAGTGTTCAGACCCCAACACCACCACCTTCTAGCAGTGTAACCTTGAAAAAAATTAAACTTGCTAATTTTTTTTTTTCATCTTTGAAATGGGTAATATTGGTACCCACCTCACTGGGTTGTTGTGAGGATTAAGTGAGATAATTTTAAATGCTTAACATAGTGCTCGACGTGTAGTAAGTGCTTGAGAAATGTTAGATATTTTTACTACTTTTGAGAAGAAATTGAATATCTCACCTGTGTACCTTTTCTTTCCCCAACAAAGGAGACAGAATCTGTAGCTGACATTGTTTTGTGGGGAGCCCTGTATCCATTGCTCCAAGACCCAGCCTACCTCCCTGGTGAGCACTGAGCATATCACTTTATTCCCAGCCCCAACCGCAGATGCTTGGTGTAGGGGTTACAGAATGGGCCATATATTGTATGTAGGTACCCACTATGAGGTGTAACTTGACGTGGAAGCTATAGCAGAAAGATGGTAAAGGGAATGGGATAGCAACTGGAGAAATTTCACGAGGAAGGCAAAGAGGCCCACTCATCCGGCCTTCCTGGTCTTGCTGATTCCCTCTTTTCTCCCAAATCTGCAGAAGAGCTGGGTGCCCTGCACAGCTGGTTCCAGACACTGAGTTCTCAGGAGCCATGCCAGCGAGCTGCAGAGACTGTGTTGAAGAAGCAGGGTATCCTGGCCCTCCGGCCCTACCTCCAAAAGCAGCTCCAGCCCAGCTTCCTTGAAGGGAGGGCTGTCAGCAATGAGCCTGAGGTTTGGAAAGAACAGAGGGGTCACCAGAGAGCCTTGGTGCCTAAAGGGTGGGGTGGTTTGGAGAGGGACTTGGAGCATGGGCACTACCTTTTACTGTTGTTGGGAGAATTTCTTTATTCCATGGGCCCTCCTCACCTGGTGAGGGATTCTGTCCACTCTTCATAGGAGGAGGAGCTGGCCACCCTGTCTGAGGAGGAGATCGCCGTGGCTGTAACTGCTTGGGAGAAGGGCCTGGGCAGCTTGCCTCCCCTTCGGCCAAAGCAGAAACCAGTGTGAGTAGGCACAGATGAGTGGGCTTGGTTTCTTCAGTGGAAGTGGTTGATAAAATCAACACCTGCCTGCCAGGTCCCCTCTGCTGCTGACATCTTTAATTTTCCATCCTTTCCTTTTTATTCTCAGATCCCTATCTCTCTTTTTATTTTTTTATTGTTGACACTATCTTTTTTTAAAGTGTTATTCTCTCTTGGTTTATAATTTTAGACACTCCATCAGTCCCACCTGCACCCATGTTTCAGTTATTCTTTACCTACAGATACCACCTAAATCTGTTTTTCCCAGTCCAGATCTCTACTCTGAGCGCAACATATTTGTCAGACTGAATCCTCCACCTCCACACGCATTGCAAACTCAGCATGTGCAAAAGCAAGCCAGCCATCTTCCCTGTCAGCTTCTCTCCTCTACTCATGTACTTTAGCGATTGACATCCCCCGCCTCCACTTAAAAATCTAAGCCAGAAATGTTGGTGTTATCTGTACTCTTCTCTCATCCCCTCCTCCTGTATCACTTATTCCATCACCAAGTCATTGATTCTAACTCCTAATAGTCCTTGAATCAGTCCCTTCTCTCTCTTCTCAGCTGCTCCCTTACATCAGGCCTCACCATCTTACATTCTCCTTCCCTGCCACCCCATACTTCACACTGTCACCAGTGAGTACTTAAAACTGCACGTATTATCTCACCCTCCTTTTTTTTTTTAAAATATATTTTATTGATTTTTTACAGAGAGGAAGGGAGAGGGATAGAGAGTTAGAAACATCCATCAGCTGCCTCCTGCACTCCCCCTGGGGGCTGTGCCCGCAACCAAGGTACATGCCCTTGACCATAATCGAACCTGGGACCCTTGAGTCTGCAGGCCGACGCTCTATCCACTGAGCCAAACCGTTCAGGGCATCACCCTCCGTTTTTGAATTCTACAGATGGTTCCTTGTGTAGTTCACAAGACCATTCAAGATCTGGCCCCTGTCTGAGGCTTCATATTTTGTCACTGTCCTACTACACTGAGATAATATACACGCACATTCACAGCTTTTTCCATCAAAATGAAATATTTGTAGTCTCAAACTTGTCATCCGATAAAGATTTGAGTGTCTACTCCTTGCTAGGCCCTATGTGCTGGATCTACAGGAGGGAGCAAAACAGATAAGACTTCTGCTCTCATGGAACTTTGAGTCTAGAAAAGTAGATAGGTATTTTAAAAATTCATACAAATGTATAATCACACATTTTAGTAAGTCCTATGAAGGGAAAGAACAGGATGCCAGGAGAATAAATATCACAGGAGATTAACCTATAGGCCTCTCTGAAAAATTGACATTTGATCTGAGACTTGCAAGATGAGTAGGAATTAGGCAGGGGTAAGGCTATGGGGAAGGGTGTCTTAGGAAGACGAAACATGTACAAGATGGCCTTAGAAGCAAGAGAGTTTGGCTCTTTTTAAGGAATTGTAAAAGGCCAGTGGCTGAAGGCTAGACAGTCAAGGGGCAGATAGTCCAAGGTGCATTTTGAGAGGAAGGCAGGCCGACATCATACTGTACTCACCTTGGTGTCAATGCACATGCTATCCCTTCTCCCTGGAATGTCTGTATCCTACCTAACGGGCGTATACTCATTCCTTGAGAGCCTAATTTTACCATTTCCTTCTCTACAGAGCTTGAGTGCTTCATTTTCGGGAAACTCCCATTGTCCAAATATATTGTAATTATCTCTTTTCATGACTGTGTTCTCTGTCTGTCAGTTTATTGAAGGTAGAGGCTCTCTCTGTATGTTTATGTGTCCCAGTTTCCAGTAGATACTGATAAAACTTGAATAAATTGATGAAGAAAGTCCATCCATTGTTCATTTGCTCATTTTGAGTAGTTCTTAAGTACCTACTATGGACAGTTTAGTACTAAGCCCTTTGGATGTAATAAAGAATAGGAGATAGACTTTCTCAGATGTTTATACAGGCTAACACGTTTAAATGCATATGTAGAGGAGGAGACAATTGGTATTAAAGACCCTATTACCGCCCTGGCCTGCATGGCTCAGCAGTTAGAGCATCTGCCTGCTCACCAGAGGGTCTCCAGTTCAATTCCTCATCAAGGGCACATACCTAGGTTGCAGGTCCAGTCCCCACCCCAGTCAGGATGTATGCGGGAGGCAACCAGCCGATGTGCCTCTCTTACATTGATGTTTCTCTCTTTCTTTCTCTCTCCCCCCTTCTACTCTCTAGAAAGCAATGGCAAGAATATCCTCACTCCTTGGGTGAGAATTTTTTTTAAAAAAGACCCTATAGCCAAACCAAACTGTCTTCTGTGCCTTTCCTTCTGATTGAAAGACATCCCTAATGCCTTGATCAGGCAAATTCCTACCCACTCCTGAGGCCCAACTCAAGTATTCTGCTTCTGTGAAGTCTCTCTCTCTCTTTTTTTTTTCTTTTTTCTCTCTCTCTTTTTAAAAAAAATATTTTTATTGATTTTAGGGAGAGGGAGGAGAAATATCAATGATGAGAGGGAATTGTTGATTGGCTACCTCCTGCACACCTCCTACCAGGGATTTAGCTCGCAACCTGAGCATGTGCCCTCACTGGGAATTAAGACGTGATCTCCTAGTTCATGGGTTGACAGTCAACCACTGAGCCACACCGGCCAGGCTGAGAAGTCTCTTAAGCTTAGGCTGGAGTGTATGCTTGCCTTCCTTGGAGCTCCTTTGATAGTTTGTACCTCTCATTGCACTGATTCCAGTTGCAGATATGTAATAGCCTGTAACCCCCTAGAGCAGTGGTTCTCAACCTTCTGGCCCTTTAAATATAGTTTTTCATGTTGTGACCCAGCCATAAAATTATTTTCATTGCTACTTCATAACTGTAATGTTGCTGCTGTTATGAATCGTAATGTAAATATCTGATATGCAGGATGGTCTTAGGCGACCCCTTATGAAAGGGTCGTTCAACCATCAAAGGGGTCGCGACCCACAGGTTGAGAACCGCTGCCTTAGAGGGTAGAATCCCATACATACCTTTCTATCTGCCACCAAGTTACAGGGTAACACAAAAGACAATAGTGTGCTACTAAGTGCCTAGGGTCTTGGGACACAGGGATGACTGGATGGAAGGCCAGTCATTAATGAAGGAAGGCTTCCCTGAAGAAACTGATTTCAAAACTGGATTTCAATGTCCAGCGATTATAGATTGAGAATGGTCAGAAAGACAAAAAGTCCCTGATGAAGTGTCAGTGCTGAGAAGGGGGATGGATACATGATGTGCACAGCTGAGCTGTCAAGGATGAACCCTAAAAAGAGAATAGTGGATTGAATGGCTTCAGACAGCAGCTTGAG